GCGCCCCCTACCGCACAAGTGCCTCAGGCTTGCCCAGCTGGTTGTTGGGTATGCAGTTGTCCATGAGGTCCCTGTGGGATGACGGGCTCTTCCCTGGGAACTTCTGCTTCTTCTCGCTCCTGCTGGAGGTCGCTGAGGTGGGCACACTGCCGTTGGTGGCGCCGTGGCCGCGGGGCGACGAGTTGCCCGGGCCTCCCGCCGTGTTCTTGTAGTTCTTGGAGGCGCTGGCTGTGGCGTCGTCCTTGGCCAGCAGACTCTCCGCGCTGCCTGCCAGCTCGTTGTTCAGTCTCTTGCTACTCAGGTGGTTCTCCATGTACTCGATCTCCTGCAGCTTGGACTCCACCGTCTGCAGGATGTTGTTGTTTATCCCCAGGCTCTGCTTTTTGCCGTCCCTGTCCTTGCTCTCGCGCCCCTTCTCCCTGTACTCCAGCTCTGGCAGCGGAGGTGTGACTTTCCTGCCGGGGGCTCCATTCTGGGTCGTGGGGGGATGCTCCGTGTCGGAGGCCCCTTTGGCCGCCGTGACTGTAAGGTGTAGAGTGGGACGATTAGCATGGAGCTTTGGTCCAACCTACAGACCCATAATGTACATATGGTCTAGTGACACCGCGACAAGGTAAAAAAAATCTACTGCCCACAGCTGGTGAAGTTCACAAAACAGCCTGTAGGAGGAGCCATGGGAGACAACCTACACGCAATTCAGTTTGTACCTAAAACGGCTGCTGCGATCGGATGGTTCATTACCCCCCCACCCCCCACCCCAGGTACCGACCTTCCTCTGCATCTCGCTCCTGCCTGTGGAGGAGCTGCTGCTCGGGGGGCAGCGCCTGCTGCAGGAGCTGCATGTAGAACTCGTTCTCCTTCTGCACCTCCTTCTGCTTGCGCAGTCGCATCTTGTAGCTGACGTAGCTCTTGAAGCCGAAGCCCAGCGTCACCACGGGGTAGCCGATGCTGGGGAGGGTGGAGACACTTCAGTGAGCGCGGGTGGGAGGGGCTTAAATTAAAACCTATCGGGCCGTGATAGATTAAGGGCGGGTAGGGAAGCCAGAGGCCATTACGACGTGCTCATCAATCCACATGGATGCTGCCAGCATTACCTGCTGCCCGCTCCCATACACCAAGCCCATTTCCACGGCCCGTTTATTTTTACGTAAACATAACAGCAAAGTGGCCCTCTAACAAAAATATATGAGATATATATATATTATTATTTTTAACATCCAACACAAACGTTTCAGGCTGGGGGAAAAAAAAAAATACCATCTTCAACAGAATGTGGTCATTTGACCAGACAACACGCCTGTTCTTACACCAAAGTGACTAAACGTGACCACTGACACAGTGACCTGTTCATGATTTGTTTAAAGAAAAGCCAGGTGTCAGAGTGCCTCGCTCAAGATGGAGAAACTACTATGGTGTGCTGAGCGACGAGCACAGAGCTTCGCACACCAAGGGCTGGCTGGAAGCGGCACTCACCAATGCGCCGCGAACGGTCGGCACAGGTCCACGTGGAAGTTCTTGAGATCTTTGAAGCGGATCGCTGCTTCGATGTACACGAAGAGTATCCAGAGAGAGACCGTGGGAAGGCACACTCCTCTTTCTACGCATCCAAAGCGAGAGGCACACCTTAACAACCGCACTACACATCTGCTCAGAAAAACATACTAGATTTCCCTTAAAGATTGCAAAACTGCATTTTCTGCCGTCTGAGTTTCCCCTTCGCTGCAGTTATTTCGATTCTTATCAGCAGGACAACACGGTGGCTCAGTGGGGAGTAGACACCCACCCAGACCTGGGTCTGACTGCCCCCCCCAGCTCTATGCACCAAGACAGCCTGTGGTTTATTCCCACATGCTAAACACAAACGGATTTGGTTGGATCTATAAACCGCTCCTAGCTTGTGTGAGTGTGTGCCCTGCTGTAGACTGGCATCCCATTCAGGATGTTTCCTGCTTTACTGTCTGTGCTTCCTGGGTTGGGCTACAGGGCAACACCTGAAAGATGGATGTATCGTCAGGATGTAGCCAAGTGCTACATCACTGTGTCACTTAACGCCGACAGAATATTGCCATCCACTTGACAAATATGTATGACAGGGGTCTCCAACTCCGGTCCTGGAGAGCTACCATCCAGTAGGTTTTCTATCATACCCGGCTTCTGATGAACCACACTAGTTCTCAGGTAAATACCAGGAGCAGGTGTGGCTCATCAGAAGCCAAGTGGGACAGAAACTCTACTGGATAGTAGCTCTCCAGGACCGGAGTATAAGATGTGGGGGAAGAGGGTGATTTGGCTACATCCCAAATTAAGCCCCCGTTCTTCCCTCTCATGCCCTGGCTGCATGAATCTGTTTTCCGCCCTACATGCTGCAAGCCTATACAATAATTTGCAGACATCCTGTTGTCCACGGTTCTTCTCGTTCTCTTTCAGCATGCACTTACTGCCCTGCACACGTGTTCCTGGAATGTGCCACGTGCAACGACCTGCCTGCACAACGTGTCACATGTCCTATGTCACAGCATCAAGCGTGGGCTGTTCATCAACACCAAGACACGTGGACACACGTATGAAAACACGCCGTATATGTACTCACCTGTGTGCCACACGTACTGCACCCACACGTATGTGCTGGCGGCGAAGAACAGCCACTGAACGGGGATGAAGAGGAGGCAGATGATGTCCGACGTGAAGGCCACGCACACGAAGAACACAGAAAATGCCTGCGGGACAGGATGCCGTCACATTGGGCTGCATGACACATTAACCCCACAAACGAGAGCCGAGGAACGATGAGTTTTAGTCTGAAACACGGCATGACAGTGAGTATCTTTCCTCAGTATCAGTGCCGATGGCGATTGACGGCTCAGGCGAAATTCCCGCCCTCAGTGTTTCAAAGCCTCCTCCCCACCAGAGTCATCACAGTCGCTCACACACACGTGGTCACCTAGAGCAACCCTCATGAATCTCACACGCTCACCTCCAAAGCATGGGCCTCACAGGACTGCCCGCCCTGCGGCTGCCAGGGCCGCTCTCACTTCACCTTTCAGCCGGCGGAGGGAAACTCACCAGCCCCTGGTACCTGAAGGAGTCGTACACGCTTCTGATGAACAGCCAGAACGGCCACAGGTACTCGAACCTGAACTCCAGCACGAAATCCGCCAGCAGCACCATCGCCCACACCACCAGGAACTTGAGGTACAGGAATGTACTGGGGAGGGGGGAGAGAGATGAAGATGGGGGTTGGTTGGTATCTAAAGGCACCAGGAAGGTTGAGCAGCATGAAACACATCCCTATCATCTCGGCGGTTCCCTATTAACAAATGACTAATACCCAGAGTGAAAGGCCACATCACAACCTGAGAGAGAAGGAAAAAAAAAGACAGATAGATTCATTCAGGACCAAAGAACACAGAATAAGACCACACCACTCCAAAAAGACACAACAAACAAATAAAATAAAAGCTCAGGTGCCAAAGTAGTTAATGACACAGACTCCTATGCAAGACAGTTATACCCTTGAACAAAGGCATGCACCCCCTCAAGTAAAAATTCACAGCTAAACTCAATGGGCAAAACTTAGGTAAAACCCCAAGCAACCAAATAAATACAGCTTGGTTCAGAGACAGTGAATTGTTTCACATCTTTAACATTTTTAATAAGACCCAGTGAACCTCATATCCAGCAATCCTAAGACATAATGATAGATATTAACTGGTGGCACTACAAGTCTTTTACACAGAGATCAATTAAGAGACATAATAAATAACCAGTATAGATCATCCACAGTAAATCAAAGATCCGTATTTTAGCGCAATATTTAAAGGGAAAATACTGCCAGCTGGGCCCAGACAGTATAAACTTGCTAACAGAGATCAGCGTTAAATGCAGCCTCGAGGAATCGAGCTCTTCTTCCTGCACCGTTTCACGTGTGAAAATAACAGCTTGTTTTTAGTGGATTTTTAACCGGTATATGACATTTCCACAGCTTACAGGTCGCGTTTACAACTCTGTCCATGCACGCTTGGGCAGTATTGTTCTGAATATCATAAAATGCAATAAACGCAAATTAAGCAGTAAGAGACCTGAAGGAACGGACACCGTTTGTAGATGAAAGCACCGTTTTAAAAGGGATTCTTAGGAAACAGGGCAGGGCGACGGAGTTAAATAATTGAGATTTTGTTCAGATTGGAAAGCTATAAGAAGCAGCTTCATCAGAGGCTGCGCTTTATCCGAGACCCGGGCCGCGGTTCGGGCCCCTCCTCCGTCCACGCAGCTCGGCCAGCCGGCCGCCGCTCTCCCGGGAACGCCGCGGCGGACAGGCGTAACGCGGACAGATGCACCACCGGCCTTTCTCACCGTACCTGCCGTAAATGCCCTCGGTGATTCGGTTCCGTTTTAACGGCCGCCGGAGTTTGCTGCAGTCCGCATTGCGCCGCTTCATCCTCCCCCTTTTAGCTCGGGCCTTCTAATTTTTCCCAGTGGGCTTTTCCAGCTTTTTCCCCCGAACCTTCTACTGGCGCACAGGGGGGAGGAAACCTACGATACAATTTTCAATAAAAACGAGTCGCTGTTGTTATTATTTCACTGGAAACAAAGAAATAAATAAAAACACTCCACACAAGACCCTCCTCCTTTCTTTTAGCGCAGGCTCCATACGCAGCGACGTATTGCACAAAAAATACTGCGCGACAGTCTGTCCGACCAATCCTCTGTAACGTACGGGGCACCAAACATGATTGATGTGAAACGTGACTAATCATATTACGTAAACCGGTGTCATTCACACAAAAGGGCGGGCAAACGTGGCGTGAGCGTCAGCGACGTCAACCAATTGCTTTCTCAGCAGGCAAGCTGGGCGTCCTTCGCTGGCCTATGGCGTGCGGGGGGAGGAGGAACGTCGCTGCTGGTTGTCTTCTGGTGCTATTTTTGTTCGTGGTTGAAGCAACGCGGAGCTGCGTTGAATGTACGCCGAGTAAAAATAAATACATCGATGAGGTGCTGGTGTGCGATCACGCTGCTAGCTATTATTAGCGATAAAATGACCACAGGATGTCCTACCCGAAGCAGACACCCCAGTTAACAGCACGCAACAGCACACAGAATTTACGAGAAAGGAAAGCCCCGATAGTTTCCTCTCAAAATTACTTTACAGACAATAGAAGCCATGATCTAACCTTCTTCGAGTCGGAGACATTGGCTAAACCGTTTAAGGCAATTACGTTTCGTATATGTCTGGGACAGTCATGAGATGTTGAGAATAAAAGAACCTTCACATTCAGGTTTGTAAAATTCACCAGAAATGCCACTTAAGAAAGGATTTTGTATCTTTATTGTTACAGAATCTGCAGACAAAACTAGGAAGGGAAAAAAGTCAATAACATACTGTTGGTAACCACATCAGGTAGGAAAATGCCACACAGCTACAGTAAAGTCCAGATGGTCTAATGTTCCTGCTACTACCCTGTGCTAAGTGGGACGAGGGAGAGACCAGGTATATACACTGGTTATCGAGGGTTCAAAGACTGTACATCCTTAAGGGAACAAGATAACAGACACAATGGAAAAGGGACTAGGAAAGAGAACAAAATCCAATGAAAGAACTACAAATGAAGGTAGACTGTACATACATTATTTATTTAAAAAAAAAAAAAAGTCATGGGCGATCCCTACCATTGAACCGTGTTTGGCATCTTATGACAGTGTGGTCTGCCACAGTGGCAGGTTTGTGGTTAAACACGGTTAAAAAAGAAAAGAAAAAAAAAAAAGGAAAACAGGATACTTACACAAACAGGACTGTTTTACACTTACCATTCTGTGGAGTCAGCTGAACAAAAAGGTAGCGGGATGGTAGAGTATAAATATTTGTAAAATAAAACACTGGAGACAAAGCTACACCAGGTTTATCTGAAGGGATTTACCACAGGTAACAAAAGAATATTTCCCATAGGTTAACCTGATGCTGCAGGATGTCTCTCAGCTTGACATCACCCTGACAACACTAACACTGCCCCCCTCCCTCCCTCCCTCCCTCCCGCCCGCACCAACCCCAGGCCTGGAAGTCACTCCCTCTGCTCCATCTTCACTTTGGGTGGCTTTAGGAAGGTTCGGGTACTCTTCTCCTTCTTGGTCTTGCCTTTGGCCTGGAAGTTTCTCCAGCTGTCCACTCGGCCATCCCGCGATTCCTGGGGGGGGGGGCACAGAACCTTAATGCTACCATGTCACAAACAGGGGGGCCACACCGACCAATGCTGCCCACCCCCCCAATTCGTGAGGTCCATTTCTTTCACAGGGAAATGCATAACAAAATCAGCCACAGCCTGTACCTCAAAGTGCTTCTGCCACTCCCTCTCTCTCTTCGCCTTCTCCTGCGTCTCGATCTCCTCCTCCCGCTGTCTCTTCCTAAAGACACAGATCACTGTCAGGTGGGTGCCATGGTCCAGCTTGCAAATGCTGGGTAATTCTAAACTACAACTTCACTGACCTGGAAAGTTACAAAAGTAATTAGGTGGAAGTGTGTTAGTACAGTACACTGCAATCTGTCACTTCAATCTGCAACAGTTAAGTTAGCGACTCATAATCCACCGGGCCACCCGCTCCAGCTGCTCTCCCGACTGAGGTGCTAGGAATTAGGCCAAAGGAAGCCATCTGTTGCATCTGACTCGTTATGCTGGCAGGACAGACGGAGGGGGATTCTACACGGCCGAGTGTTCAGCTGGCTGTCGAAGCTGGAAGCTCATTCATTGTGAATACTTTGGGCAGTTATAACTGAACAGTTATTGTGCTGCCATAAACATTTTAGCATCATTTAATTAAAAAAAGCCATTAAAGAACTGCAAAATCTCCCCTTTCAACTAGTTTCTATGCCTCAAGGGAGTCTCTCTCAATCTCATTTCATTACCACTCATAAACACAACCCTCCCCTTTCCCATTAAATAAGTTCCCCCTCGCTTTGTACCTCCATGACATTGTGCACAGCAACTGCTTACTGGCAATGCAGAGACCCTTTATTGGCCACAAATTGCTCCGCCCACTTCCTGTCTTCGTTGCTCGCACGATCCATTTTTCATTCTCAGCAATTGTGTCAACGCTGCAGACGCACTGATTCAGTCAGCAGGTTCCCGAGTTACCTCTCATGCATCTCCTTAGCGTCTCTTTCCTTCCTCTTGATCTCCAGCTCTGCAAACAACTTCATCGTCTGCTTGTAGACAGCCTGCTTAAACTGGAAGCAGTAGAAGCCGTCAGAGAGCAGACCTCTGCTAATCTCCGCGCCTCTATTTTTAACACGTCTTGTAGGACCCACCAGATGCTTGGCGACAAACCAAATAATATTTGCCAGTCAGCTGGCACATGTCATTCATGAAGCATTTTCTCATGTGAAAAATTAACCAAGGTTTCTCTCAATTATAGCCTTGATATGACGTCTTGACATTAACTGATTTCTTGAACAGGGATGATAAAATTTTTTGAGGGGAGGCACTGAATCATATTTTTTCCTCTGGGGGGGGATCCCTGAACTCTGATGCGGAGTCTTAAGTCACCACTGTTTGGTCAAATTTGGTCTGTACCTATTGGGTGGGCTGCTGATTCACAGGAAACAGATTAAAGACTGGAGCCGGTATGATACAATTCAACCAGTATTACTGAAGGAAAAGGGAGAGTGGGCCATCATTTCCTCCATACCACTTCGGGGTCGTCTTCCTCCAGCACTGTGGACTTTCCCTCTTTCTTCAGTTGCTTTCGCTTCTGACTCATCTAACATCACAAAAGAGGAGAGAACCGAAAGGCATATCAAACGTCAGGAATGGACTCCTTTACATTGTGGGAAATTCCATTTTTGACCAAGAGGCTTGAGTCTAAAATACCGGCGGGGGGAAAACTCTACCCATACAGGGACAAAACAGAAATTCACAGGCATGCTGGGTTTCTTACGCCGTTTTCCCAGCAGGTATAGTGTTATGATGTACAGATATATACTACCAGTCTGAGGTTTTCTACGTTTTCATATTACTCACTTAACATTTACTAAAAATATACTTAATTCTTTGCTAACAAATACATTTACACTATGTTCACAGAGTAACTTTATTAGCAAGAAAATGTCATATCTTTGATTCCTCAAATTAACCTCCTTCATCAGTTATAACAGCAGAGAAAATTTGAGGCATTCTTTCTACAAAGGACATTAAATACTAATTAGTGCATTTAAAGCTGAGGGTTTGACTGTGTCATCACCCCACAACCAGTTAGTAGGATGTCAGACATGCACTGTTACATACTATTTCTATGTTATAAAGGAAACTTGTTAAATTTGACTTGTATTTTTATTTATAGTTGTTCACTCAACTTTCCAATGCTTAACAAGAATAAAATTTGCAGTTTGTGAAATAAACGGAAAAGTGGTAATCGGTGGTGTGCAAAAACTTTTGACTGGTAGCATATTAACGCCTCAGGTCTCACCATGTGCTCGATGTACTCCTTTCCTGCATGGATCACGTCGACAGCACGCTTCTTCTGCTCAGGATCCAGGAGTAAACGGTATGCCTTATCCACAGCTGAAGAGCAATGGGGAACATCATGTAAATTACCAGTGAAGCAGAATCATATTGGATGCCATAGCAGGGCAGATATTATCAATTACAGTAAAATCCACTTATAACGGACTTCAAGGGACCTGGCAAAACAGTCCGTTATATCCAGAGTTGCTGTATGCTCAGAACACAACTACAGGACACCATTTACTCATGCCACACCCCAGCAGACACACTTGTGGTATAGATTATTATATTGTATATGAAGTAATTCAACTTCACCTGAGCAGATGCGTGACTATTAATAATCCCGACTCCGTATCTGCGCTGGATAGGCGCCTTGTAGGCGGAGCTGCATGTCCGTTATAGCCAAACGAAACTATAGCTAAAAGCGGCCCAAACCAAACTGTTATAAGCAAAATTCCGTTATATGCGAGTCCGCTATATGGGATACCCCCCCATCCAAAATACTGCAGTATACCATATTACCACAATACCAGCCAATCCTACGTGGTATACCATATTACCACAATTCCATCCAAGCTTAGTTGACATAATGAACTAGTTAAAAGTCTCTCTTTGTAATGGAAAACATAACTGCAGTTTTAATTGTTCCATTTCAAGATTATGTAGTACATGATAAAAATCAGTGTAGTTTACCAATGCCGCTGAGGTCTGCATGCACTCTAAGAGCCAAGAGACAAACTATACTTCTAGATAATGTCTATTTGGCTATAGTTTATCTGGGACAAATGTAACTAATTTGTTTCATAAATATTGCAAAATTTATGGCAATATCTGACCCCCCGTAGTGCAGCCCTAGCACATATTGCTTCGGCATTTAATGAGGGGAATAATTAGGCCTACAGAGCTCTATATAGGACAAGCACCATACCTTCAAAAGCTTTCTGAGCCCTGTCTGCATCATCCTGGTTCTTGTCAGGATGAACCAGGAATGACAGCTGGAAGAGAAATTAAGTTTGAAAATATTGATCCAGGTAATATAGCAGAGGGAGTATGACAGAAAACCACAGTTATACTACGTCATAGCAAAAATGAAGCAGGACATTGTTTATATACCTGCCGAAACCGCTTCTTTATCTCTTCATCTGTTGCGTCTGGGTCGATCTGCAACACCTGGGAATATGAGAACAACAATTACACACGCACGCGATAAACGTGATGGGTCAAAATGTTCAAGAAGGTATTTTAGACATACGCAGTCAACTTTGACCATTTTGCTTAAACCATACACCAAAGAAAAACAAACGCCTACCTCGAATGGATTCAGGTTAAAATAAGACGCCCCGGGTCTTAGCAACCTCTCTATCTGCTGTTTTGGGGTGAAAACAGAGTCTCTCTTCTCAATTTGTTTCACCTGTGTAAACATAGAACAAAATCCATCAGTCGGGACAAAGCGTGAAAACGAAAACAAGGTGCTGTTTCTGAACAAGGCAGATCAAAACAACACGCAAAACCGGACACTAATGCGGAGTACCTGGTGATTATCGAAGAAATACATACAAATACATATTTAACCGCGTCCCTTAGCTGCTTGTTACATTTCGAAATCACACGCTAGCTCTTATGCATTACCCAACAAAACGCAGAAGCCTAAACTGATCGCCCGGCCGTACCTCGTCGAGTTTTCAAAGCACGCTCCATTGTATTTTCTTAAGGCCTAATAACATCAGTCCCCGAGTCGTGCTTAACTATACATCGTAAGTGTCCAGTGCCCGACCGATGCCGAATTACTTTATTATCACTCAGATGCATAAATCCACGGATTCCCTGGCCTCTTACCTCTGAATAAAAAGCCTGAAAAAGGTCTTCGCTAGTGTCACTTGGAGCGCCAGCTTCTCCTCCATTCGCCGCCATTTTGGCTCAATTTACGGTCACGTGACCGGGTATTTAATCACGTGAGCTGCCCTATTACATTCGAGGCACGTCGGTGCCTGCATCTAGTTTTCTGGAAGAAACCCGACATTACTGGAAAAAAAATCACTAAAGTAAAACATAGACTTGCTTAAAATCTTTCATATATAGAAAAGCTTTTATAAATGTCTTCTACTTACTGTTTCTTGTATTAATATTTAAACTAAATACTGTTCTGCTGTGGAAATTGTGATCAACATAATTATCTTACGTTACAACTACCATTTGCTTACCAAAACGAATCATATAGCTACTTTGCTAAATGTTTTGCCAGAAACATATTTTAAAAACCCCAGAGCATCCCAATTATGGTATCGCAGAGTAATTTTATTTCAGAAAATGGCTCATGTTCAAAACGTTAAACAAATTTCTTCAGTATAGTAATACTTCCATATTACACCGTTGCTCCTACGTTTAATAACAACCCACAACCAAAAGGTGTGAAATCGCTATTAACCGCAGACGGACTTTCTCCGCGTCCGGTTGTATGGTAGCCTGGTCAAGTGATTCTCAGACCACGCCCACACGCTATTAGACGGGAAAGGCTTTGAATCCTTGGTAAGATTGTCAGCTGATTAATCACGGACAGTTAAATTCTTCTGAACCGACTGAGCGATGCTTCCTGAATTTTTATTCATTCATTTTCTTTTAATTTACAGAACGATCAAGTTCGTAAGAACGTACACAAATGAAAATAAGCTGTTTTTGGTTGACATTTTTAGTTGCTAATCATTTTTTTGCGATTTTCATCCATCAAGAAATATGCTTAAGCTGCAAACAGCAGCGCCGACTAAAATGTGTAATTCATCATCGAAAAATGTATTACCGTTACCTATTCAGTGGCTTAGAACTACTGTATATTTTTATACAGTTTAATGTTATCGAGTTGTCCAACTTTAAATGATACGACAAAAATACTGTATGGGGAAATAAATAAAAACGCAGCATACCTGTTTAAAACTTTATTGGCAATTGACAACACTTTAATCATTTGACAGTCTACTCATATCAGATACAATCTGAAATGCCTGTTGGATAAAAATATTCTGCACAGTGTTATACTGTGTATCAACCGCAGCTGGTATTCTGTGTAATACAAACCCACAATGCTGTGAATTGACAGTGGTACAGCCAGACAGCCAAATAGCTGTGTTCACTGCTTGATTAACTGATGAGATCGTAAAGATTGTAAATTTGGAAATAAAGGTTGTAAAGCAAATTCAGTAATAATAAAATTAGGCATTTACATGATATGCCACTTCCGTGTGGACTGGTGACCACAAAAACGTAATCTCTCTGTCAGTTCACAAAGTTTTCTGGAAGCTGAAAGTAACTGTCCTTCATCTCTACCAAAATAAAATTCCTGGAATCCAGTCCCAAAATAGGGACTCCATATTGTGGGGAAAATCCCCTTTTCCTCCCCTGAAATCAGACTGAAACCTGAAGCAAAGCGGGTGGGGGGTTAGGACGGCGACCTTACCCAGCAGTCCCCATGACCTCCTCGGACGTGAAGCCCACGTCCACACTGTGACACGGCTGGGCGGGGCCTTCAAGACACGCATTCCTGATAGTCAGGTGACAAAAGCAAGGGGTTAACACACTTTAAAGAAAAGTTTTTGGGGGCTCTCTTCTTCACCCAGTATTCATACCCCAAGAAATCTTAACCCTCTGCATGCCATAACTAAAAGTCACAAGGGTTCCAATTCAAATGTGGTGTGCTGGTTTCTAGAACCCTAAATCTTCATACCTGTTGAAATATTGAACTGGTGAAAAATTTGATTTCACAAAAATAGTAAGAAAAAAAAAATTGTGTCCCTTTATGTTCATTTTTTTGTGATTATTAGTGCTCATTTGACAGAATAATGGTACCTTGAATATTTCAAATGGACAGGTTACCATGTCACTATACAAGCGCAAGCTGTTAATTTCAAACAGATGAAATATGTAACGTTTATATGGGGGGGGGGAGTCGCATGGCAATGCAGCATCAGCTTGCTGGTTGGCAGACCTGTACAGCAGCTCTGAATATAGGGATGGTCACTGTGGAAGATTTATTTGAAGATCTGATGCCCCTGGAGCCCACAAAAGCAGCGACCCCGAGATCATGCAGAGCAACGAATAGAATTTCTGATCTCAGATTTATCCCCACCTTCATGGCTTCTTTCTACCAAATCAAGCTTTTTAAAGGTTAGCAGTTTCAAAATGAATCATATTTTCATTGACATATTTAGCAGAGGTTTTTGTTCAAAGTGGCGAAAGTTTTCGAGGTCAGACAGCATCCCTGTAGCAGCTGCAGTTAAGGGCCCCGGTCAGGGGCCCAAAGATATGATCACTCTGCCAGCCATCGAGATTCGAACCCACAACCAAGACACGGATCCCTGAAACGCTGAGCTGTGCATCACCCCTGCTAGAAATGACATCTGCACCCTTAAAATGTTCTCTTAATAGATATCAATGTAACACACATTCCTTCAGCACTGTGGATTTGGATGCCCCCCCACAGACTCCCACAATCCTAGAAAACAATGGACCAGGATTAAATCTTCTTTGTAAATAAACCCAATTTAAATTAAACACCTTTTGAGAATTACCCACATAGTGCTTATGTACCTTATTTATGATTCAAAATTTGTAGAAAGTGTGGGAAACGTTTCAAAATCTTAAGAGCAAGACTCCAATTAAAATGCAATGTAAGACCTGTAATCAGAATTGAACTCCTTCACTCAGGATACAGAAGCATAATGATAAAAACATTTTTTTTTTGGGTTGCTGGACGAAAAACTTGATTGGAGAAATGCCTGAAATTGCACCAGGTCCTTCCTGAGTAGGGCCAATCATTTTGTGCATTGCGGATTTCTTTATTTTTTAATTACCAGACCATGAAGTAAGGAGACTCAGCCAATCAGCACAAGGACCACCTGCCTCTCAGGTTCCAACAGCTATACCTCCTCCATGATGACTTACGATTCCAAACCTCTTTAGTATGCTCAGACAGAAGGGAATGTTATCTATTGTAAGGATAGAGACCCCTTTTGGAAAATTCACAAATCCTGTCGCTGGAGGGAGAGGAACGCCTTTTATGAGCATTCATCCGATGAGCATATCCAGTAAATATTAGAAGGAGGTGTTCAGTCTTCTCTGACAGACCAAATCATTCATGGAAGATTGTCTAGTATTAAGAGTAGGCGTTTTTCCATTCTGGGTAACTTTACCCAAAGAGACTTAAACATTTTGACTCTAGCCTGAGCCAGGGTCCGAAACGTGCAGGTGTGAGGAAGAGGAGGCAATCTTTAGCGGTGAAGAGGTAAACCAGCTCACCCTTTCGGAAGAACACAGCTGAGATGTGTTCCTCACGCTAGCGCTGCCCCTCTCGCATCGCCACCTGGGTAAGTTGGAATAAAAGGACAAGCTTAAACACAAAACTATGGACTCTGCAGAGGAAAAGACTGCATGTTCTCTTATCTTCACTACACGGTGACAGATCGCTGGGCTTTCAGAGCACAGGAGGAACATCTCGCATCATCTTGGAGATTTAACCCTTTGGTAAACAGGCCAGGGGGTATGCTGTTTAAATTTTCTCAAAAATTTAAGGGATCAGACATTGTCAGCCAGGAAAGGTTCCCAAATCGATCTGCCTTGTAGAAGGACCCAGGAAATTGTTAACCATGGTGATACAAGCAGGAAGAGTTCAAAAATACATTTTAATTTACTGACACTTAACCAAGCATGTTTTAATTCCTTAGAATCAAGGTCTAAAGAACTGATCCTATTTCACATGTCTGAATGGCTTGCTTAAGGATTCCGGAATCTCAGAAAATATCCATTCTATGAAACTGCACAAATACCTTTTCCCAGGCTAGAATTCTAAATAACATATAACCACAACAGCATACTTAATGCTGAAGAGCAAAGGGTTAAAATGCCTTTTATTCAGGTGTTGCACATATTTGATCCTCTTTAGACCTCTGGAGATTTCCTTTCAGATCGGTCTGAAGTTCTGCCAGGTGGTACAATGTCCCCATTCTGAATTGAGTGGTCATAAAATTAGTCAAAAACATAAATGCCTTTCATGTCACTTATTGTAAATTGATTGGATCACTTACATAAGTTTTCCCCATCTGCAAACAGTCATCGTTGAAGTAATTGAAAATATTTTAGGACACAACTGAATTGGAAGTATCTGGTAACTAAATTTTTGGTTGAGTTTTATTGAAATGTAACAATCAGAAGTTACAAACATGAAAGAACACTCTGTCACGGCCCTTTACGTGTTTCAAACCAAATTCCAAAAAAATTTTTAAAGATCAGATTTTTATGAAGTTATACGAACAGTTCTAAAACCCAAAACACTTCTAAATCTACCACTAAGCAATTTATAGCAACTGAAATACAAATATTTCCCCCCCAATTTATGCTTTTTTCCCCTTGGATTATTAAAGCAAACTGTGAAAGCACTGAAAATAAATGCCTAAATTCAAACCTATATACACAAGCATATTCCTCCACCGCTCAATATTAGGAGTATGGAAGGAAATAAGCCCACAATGGGGGGGGGGGGGGGGGAAGGGGGGGATTAAGCAAGGGATCCAACAGGACATTCATGATTTTTAACATCTTCACAAACCTTTGAAAAGGAATGTCCACCTTTAAAACATTAAATGCTGGCTTTTTAAAAAAAAAAAACATGAACACAAAAAAAAAAAAAAGAAAAACAAACATAAAAAGTGGTTGTGTTTAGTCAGGGGTGTCCAGAGTAAGAAAACGGTTGGGAAGAGTTTGACAATCATCTTCAGCCCAATTCATACCTCCGGCCAATCGAACGGCCAAACTCCGGCGAGGACTCTTTTGTGAGGTCTTAGCATTCGTTTGTGTGTGGGGGATGAAAACCGAAAGCCAAATCGGAAGGTGCTGGCCATCTCCTTGATTTGTCTGCCACATAAACTTAACTTGCACCTACTTCCACTGCTGGCCATATGAATCGTGAGAAAACTCCAGGTTGTCATTACTGTAACCATAGTTACCGGAATAGTCGGCACCCTGCTGCAGGGGCTGCTGGGCGATGGGCTGGGACCCCCAGTTCTGCTGGCTGTTGGTCTGTCGCCGCTTGGAGTCCGGCTGGTTGAACACGTCGGCCTTCCTCTTCCCGCCCACGTTGCCCCCTCTGTTTCCCCGCGGACCCCTGGCTCCTCGGCCCCTCTGCTGCTGGAAGGGGGCTCCCCGGCTGCCCCGCCCCCCCCGGGGCACTCCTCTTTGGATGTAGGCCCCCCTCCCCCGTGGGGGCGGGGCCCCCCGTGACCTGGCTGGAAGAAGGCCGCCCCTCCCACCCCGACTGCCCCTCCCTCTCAAGGGGTAGCCGTCGTCGTAGGCGTAGTAAGGGTCTTCATAGCCACCTCGGTAATCATGATAGTCATAAGCGTGATAGTCGTCATAGTAATCTTCACTGGTAAAGTAGTCTAGGGGGTACGGGTAGCTACCCCTGCCCCCGCGCCCCCTGCCTCTCATTGGGGGGGGCATGCGAGGGGGTGGGTAGTAATAATAATCGTCGTACCTGAAAAAGACAGCAGCGACAGCACAGCTCAGCTTGCCAGGACTTGACAACGGTCACATCAGCTAGGACCTGCTATTCATCACACAGTAAGAGGTTAGCAGCTATTCGGCAACCAGACAGCTTGTGCATCTTCAGAGATATGGCAGATCTAACCGTCCATATACAGCACCTCAGAAAGAGGCGTCTCCACACTGGGAATCCCTGAATTTCATCATTTACTGCTGCAGCAAAAATTGTTCAGTTCAGGTATTTAAATTATCTGAGCTTGCGCCTCATTATCAACCTCAGCTACAAAAACTTTGTGGGATCCGTAAACTTAGATCAGCTTCTTAGACTAGTGGTCACATCTGTATCAGGGCTGGGCGATATTGATGTTATATTCGGAACATTTTTACATACATTTTTTACATCATTTTTACAATGATTTTTTTTTTTAAATTGATTGTATTTATTTATTGTAAAATGTAGATGTTTGTAAATGTAGATACCAGGCACTAGAATTTGGTAATACTAGTAGTAGTCTTTGGTTCATATAAATCATATTTAGTAAAGGTGCAAAATAGCACTAAAAACATGTTAATGTCTTATTTTGAATAAGCATTTAACTGAACAATCTGTTAAATACTTTAAATATTTGTTTAAATTTCAGGCACTTGGATATTTAGTCGATTTGTATCGAGCGTGACATAAAACATTGTGATATAGTTTTGCAGCCATATCGGCCAGCCCTAATCTGTATCGCGCATTTCTGACAGCCTGGCTAAGTACAGCGTGCTGAATGAACAGACCACCAGTTTCAACAAAGACCCCGGACTTGGCGCCCTCCTTACCCCGTGTTTCTGCCAGGTGGTCGGACTGCCTGCCGTTCCTTCCTCTTCTTGTCTGGGGGCTTCGCCAAGACGATTTCTATCTCCTCTCCCTCCAGCGGCTTCCCGTTCATTTCCGCCATCGCCTGTAACACGGCGCATGCCGTCTGGCGTCAGGCTCCGTCGCCGCAGCGGGACACGGACCCGGCAGCTCAAACACAGGGCCGGTTTACCTTCATGGCCGCCTCTCGGTCCTCAAAGTGGACGAAGGCGTAGTCCTTCAGCTTCTTCACCCGCTCCACGTTCCCGAACTCCGAGAAGGTCTTCTCCAAGAGCTCTTCCGTGACAGATGTGGCCAGCTTCCTCACGAACAGCACCTTCACCTGCGGAGCACAGGCCTCGTCACCCAGATCCCAAGCCTGCTCTCCAGAAACTTTCAAACACTGAGCTGATCCCAAGTCAATAATAATACCAACTTAACTGCATTCCGCATGTGGTTCTGATCTAACCACCCAGCTATTCATGTGATCATACTGCCCCCTCTGCTCAATGCGAAGCAGCGACAGCCCACCTTGGCCATGACCTCCGGGTCGGGCTCCTCCACTGGGTCGGCCCACTCCACAGTGACTGGGTTGCCCCACACCTTTACTTTGCCGCTCATCAGTCGGCGGCGGGCCTGCGCGGCCGCCTTGTGGTCCTCATACTCCAGGAAGCAGAAGCCGCGGTTTTTCTTCTTGTCGTCCGGCTGGTGGTAGAGGATCACCTCCGTCAGACCCTCTGCAAGGCAGCAGGCAGATGTTGGCACTGGCAGGTAGGTGCCACAGGACAATTCACAAGCTTAAGGAAACCAGCGGCATCACTAAACGGCCACGTGCCGCTTTGTGTTGCCATGACTGGCAAAAACACCAAAGTTTCCCCAACCTGTCACTTTGCTGAAGTCCTCCAAAATGCTCTCTTTTGTTTTGTTTTTCGGAATAGATCCAACGAAGAGGCGGTTGTTTGCTACGGAGATGCACACGCCCAGGTACTTGCCAGGGCGGATTTCATAGTTGTCACACTGAAGAGAGACAAATCAAACAGCAGGTGATGATTCTCTTTTATTCTTTTCTTTACATTCCTATTCCTAAGGCGTGTCTCGCAGCTCCACAGCAGCCCCACTGCTCTGGGGGAAACGGGGGGGGCTTTACCAGTCTGACAGCTTCCTGCGCGTCGTCCTTGCTGCAGAAGGTGATGAAGGCGTATCCGCGGTTCTGGCCCGTCAGCGGGTCCATCATCAGACGCAGGTCCCAGATGGGACCCGCTTTCTCGAAGAGGGGAACCAGCTCGTCCTCGTACAGATCCCGAGGAATCTTCCCCACGAAAACCTGTGACATACACTTGACTGTTATATGCAATGCATGCCATTCCCTACACTCATGAAGAACTATCTGAGGATTGAAGCATCTTATACAGCTTCACACAGGCATTGGACCTAGTTCCTCCTTACTCGTCTACCGGGAAGGCTGAGTGAAACAACACTCCTCCAATGTGGAATGACTGATCCCCCCCCACCCCGCACCAGGAGCTAGGCTACCTACCACTGTCCTCCAAGCTGTCAGCCACAAGATCCTCTCTGTCCGGGGGTTGCAGACCCCCCCCCCCACCTAAGACTGAACCTAAATCCATTTGTTGGACTTCTTTTGGAGGCTGAAAACTTTTTAAACTGTTTTTTAAAAAGTTACCGAAGTATGACTGTGGCATACTGTTATTTTAGGTGGACAAATTAAGTTAAAACCATCATAAATCATACTTGTCATACTATGTACATTTTGTCATTTGAGACACATATAATCCAGGAAGCTGTTAAAAGCACCACAAAGCCTCACAAGCCCCAACACCGCAGAGATACTAAAAAAGCAAATGTGAACATTGTCTCCGGTTCTTGCCTCAGTCCCAATTCCAGGCTGAGATCCTTGAAACGCCTTAGCAGGTGGAGGTCCGCCGTATTTCCTCTGTCCAGTGGTGACATCCAGCGTGTACCCCGTCTTCTCCAAGAGGGCCTGCGGGATGATGCAGCAGCATCAACACTGTTAGAAGCTGCGTGGCAAAGGAGCGACAGCTGCAGACAGGCTGAGGCCCAGGGATCATGCAGGAACAGCTCCGTGGGAGCTGCAGACGCCATAACCAGCGCGGGCTTGTCGTCGCCACTCAGGTTATTCTTGTTGCAGAGACGGTCCCCCTGAATCTCACCTTTATCTTCGATTCGTCTGGCCCCTTCGTGGACTCCTGCACCTTGCTTCCCTGCTTCTCCCTCTGTCTGTACGTCTTCATGACACCACACAGAAAGGCACTTTTGTTCTAAGAAAGGAAAATTGTTAAAGAAATTTTGAAATGACTAGCAAACATGAAATATGACATGTTAGGGCGCTTTTGCACTGCAACAAGTACCGTACTTTTGGTACTTTTCCTTTTCCACTTACTTCTGGTTGAGTACCAGTACCAAAAGATATAGTAACAAAAGTGCCAAACCAGCTGGGGTATTTGGGTACTTTGGGGTGGAACTTGAAACACTTCCTCTGTTGACTGGTTATGCAAATAACCAGCCTCTAAACACAATACAACCACTGTCTTGAAAAAAAATATGAACTCGGAAAACAATAAATTAAAAATAATAATAATAGTTATCTGGATGGAATTGTAATCAGGATGGCATGACAAGCATTTTACAAAGTATTTCGTAGGACAGCACAGTATTGGAAAATTTCCAAATATAGTGATGCAATTTTGTTGTTAAAAAATATTGGGGTGTTTATAAAGCAAAAAGGAGTTCAACATAAATTTCTCACCTGCACATGGGATAAGTCACTTTCCTTGAACTGCTGCAGAACCGCGAGCGCTCCATCCTCGTTGAACTCCCTTAGGGCATCAAGGGCTCTCTCATCTAGGTCTGCGTACGCCACCAGTCCTGGGAGGGTCAGTGTTACCACTTTTCATTACAAGAATGCTATCCGTTCCCCACCTGGATTTGTGGGTTTATAATCTCTCCAGCCACAACAACCCAAGCCCCCCATTTTCAAGTTTTCCCACAGGGGAAAATGTCAAAACCACATGCTAAAAGCAGTATGCTTACCCGTCAGGAAGATGTCATTCAGCTTCTCCGCCACTTTCTGGGCAAGGCCAGCGTCGATGAGCTTCTGACAGTTGTCTGCGTGTGTCGCGCTGATGTCCATAGGCTCCTCCTCCTCCTTGGCTGTCATGGGGCTGCCGTTCACCTCGGCGGCCATTCTGCAACTGCACGGCAGGCCTGAGTGCTCAGTGGGAGTCGTCCTTACGAGAAGAAAAGCTCCCAAAGCCACCACAGCTCCCCTGAACTGCAGGGTTCATTCATTTCACTCTGCGTCACCTAATTGACTCATCAACATAACCTCACGTTTCAGGTCAAAACAATGTACTTATTTAAAAGACAGTCTGGGTTCGTTTAGCAGACATGCACATCAGTGCAGTCAAGAGGAAGGGTATATAGAGAGACACCAGGCTGTTCAGTAAACCAACACGGCCATCTGTGGGGAAACCAGAAGAATGACAAAAGCGGAGACGCCCGCCTGCTCTTTACGGCAACAAAAACAAGTGGAAAGGTCTGCAAGCTGTGAGCTGTCAGAAGCTGAATAACTAGCATGCTGTGCACCATTTTTAGATTTCCACTTCTGATGTCTCCAGGGAAACAGCTGCACGTGGCTGCTTCGGGCCTCAAGCAGAGCTTATCTTATGCTAAATCTTAACTTGCGTTATCCACAACAGCTCTGCAATCAGCCAAATATAACCAATATCGAGTACAGTTTACATGCTAATCAACAGACAGCCTGCAGAAACGCAGGCTTCCGTAGAGCTGCGGCATAGGGGAGCCGAGGGCCTGTCAATCCATTGAACCCCGACATCGGCGCTCTGCGTTATAATGCAAAAGACGTCATAAATGTGAGCGCTCCCTTCATCCAGTGTATAAACGGGAAACGTTATACCAGCTTCAACCCAGCATGATCTGGCTCACGGCAAACTGGGGACACTACACAAAGGCATACAAACAAACGATGAATAAAGGGGAACTTACGGGTCAAACTGCGCCACCAAGAGGTTCACTGTGAAAACGCAGCAGCGCGGCAAAACAAGAAAACAAACCTCAGCCAGGGCGACGGGACGTTTGTCACATCCGAAGTTAAATCGCTTAAACTGGCCGTGAGGTTACTAGTAAGCGCCAGAGAGACAATAGCGAAACCATAAATCGCCCCGTAACCGCCACAGACACTGCAGGCTACTATAAGGCTCCTAACCCACGTTACGGTGTCCCGCCCCCTGTTTTTCAAACTTACAATATGATTTTTTTTTTAATAAACTCATACAGCCGTTGGCCAGGTTTCAAAAACCACCCCACATTTAGTATTAATCTAAACAGCTGGCTAAATCAAGACCTAAACGGCCGATTGCCTTTTTTTTTTGGTTAGCATTAGCTGGCTAGCTAACTAACCTGCCTGTACCGGGCCTGGATAAATTCTTTTCTTAGCTGAAAAGGGAAAAAATAAAAGACGAGTTCTTACCCCCGCTTTCACAGAAAATTATCCGTTGTTTCAGATTACTTTTTCCGAGCTTAATTTTAAAAGCACCGTGTTATTAGAAGGTAATATTAATGCGGAGAAAGGCGTATTTGGTTAAGTTATATCCACGGGAACGCAGCACGTAGCGCGCTCAACTCGACTCGTCACTCGTGAACGTGCACGTAGCGCGTACAACAAAGGGCTCCCGGCCAACGGTTACCAGGACAACAGCTCACAAGCGGGCAAGCCAAGCAAGATTTCATCATTAGCCAGATAATGTAAGGATTGTCTAATAAGAATGTCACTTGCCTCTCCTCCTATTGGACAGTTTCCACGTTTACCTTAAGTTATTATACAGCTAACCCGGAAATTGTGCTTTGTGGAATACCCCCCTGGATCTGCAGGCTGTTATTTCAGAGTAATTCCGTTTTAATTTACTGCAAGATATAGCGCAGCAGGACAGATTATAACTCACAGAATAGCGCATTTGAATGTCGAAATGTGTTTCGTTTGAAATTAAGCATTCCCAAACTGAAAGTAATTATAGAATTAAAGTGTGATTTAAATACTGAACTGGGAGAAGCAGCATTTTGGAAAAATGTTAATGCAACAGATAATACTGAAACAACACATTAAACGAAGTTCAAGATTCTGGCAACTATATAGCATATCTAGTTAATACAAGTTCACCAGTACAGGGTCCCAGTGATTCTGAAGCACATCCCAGAAAACGATACGGGTAACCCAGCATAACCAATATAACAATGCAAACTTTATTTTGGACTCCCTGTTCATCCTTTTTGATGGTATTACAGTAGTGCCCATTGCGGTGGCTTATCTGCTGAGCGTAACTTATTTTCATAATTGCTGAATAAACAGATGTCAGACAATGGCGATTCAACACATTTATTGTTCACTCTCAATCGATTCCGCTCCAGAGTAATTCAATTTGTCAGACTCAACTTCTGCTAGAATACGAACTAAGGCAAGCAATTTGTTTTCCAATTAGGCGTACACAAATCTGTCCAAGCTGCGCAAAATTTTAGACAGAAATAAGAGCTCACTATCAGTCTACTCTTCCTATAAGATCATGTTTTTTCCCTTCCTGAGAACTTTTCATGGGCTTATCATTAAAACAAAAATTATATTTGAAGTATATACAAATCACATGTGAATGAAGCAGATCTAGGCAGCACTGTGGACGGAGGGGGGGGTGGGGTGGGGTGGGGTTCAGTCATCAGCCGCGGCTTCAGTCATCATGCTTCAGCTTCTTGATCTTGCCCTTGTGACGGTCGATTTCCTGCTGCAGGCGCTCGATTTCTTTCTTGTGGTGCTCGATCTCGTCCTCGTGGTGCTTCCTGAGCGCAGCCAGCTGCTCCTGCTCCTTTCGCCTGTGAGGGGTCCATGTTACAGTGGACAGAGCAGGATTGTGGGGCAACCCGGAAGCTTCTAGAAGCATTTTATCACCAGGACCCATTTCCTTCTCAAGTTATAGGAAATTAAGTTTCATCAAGGATTTTAAGATAGATTCATTTACTGCTAATTAATATTACACCATTATTTTACACTGCAAAAGGACACATTTCACACTTAGTGTAAGATGCAGAATGCAACAGAAATTTCTTTTCGGAGGGAGGTGAATATCCACTAACTTGAAGTATCTCTCCTCCTCGGCCGCCTGCTTCTTGCCAAAGGCTCCTCCGGCTTCTCTCACAGCACCTCCTCCTCCACCCCCTTTCCCTGCTCCTTTGCCCAGCTCGCCCAGCTGAAGTACAGGAATGATAAGAGCACCAAAGACTAGTCACCAACAAACAGAAAAATTGAACAAAACGATTAAGTGACAGGGTTCCTGTAGATGTCAAACCCTTAAAAAGGAGGAAAATTACAATGACATTTTCACCCAAAATCTTTCTCCCCCAAGCAAATCTTTCTAATCACCTGACAAACACAAATGATAGTGATTGGTGGTAAACAAACCAATTATGCGATGACAAATAATTAACATTTACACAATGATTCATCTGGCCAGCTTTCATTGTTCTCTTTGGTACACAGAAATACTCAAAAATAAAAGAAATTGGAATTAAATGTTTCTATTGGCAATATTTCTTGGTGTTTTCCTTTTGAAACTAATTCATTCATACATGTGTGTCAGAATATGTTTCTCAAAACAGGCATTCTGAATTTCAAAGGACACAATTAAAATATTTTAATTTCCATTCAGATAGACTTCTATTTCACCTGAAACCAGAGAGTATATGAATGATTCTGCAGTTCTTGCATTATCAATTGTATTTTGGTTATATATTCGATGCTTGTTTTCTTGTTTTGTTTGAACATACATTTGGTAACCTAAAATCTGTAATTAGATACATCTAGTGTTAAAACCTAAAACCCTATAATGTAAAATTTATTGTCACGAGAAAGCAGACTTTTTAAAATGTCAGATTTGGTCTTCCCCAAAATTATGTATGGAAATAAACACGCTGTTTTTCAACATGGTTTATAATTAACTGGCATTAATAAAGAAATTGGTTCTCGGAGAATCGTCCAGACAGGTGTACATGACCCATGAGTCGGATCTTAATAAACGATGGACCCGAATCCAAATCACTGGGAAACTCGCATCTGGATACGAAACTACCGCCCCAAGTTCAGCTGCCTTCAACCTTCAGCCAGTCATAGTGAAACCTACGGCTTCTGAAGCCCATAGCGAGTGGGACCGAGCACTACCTGCTTGCTCACAATGTCAACTAACGAATTAAAATAAAGTGGAAAGTGGTTTAAACTAGATAGTGGATGACAGCATAAAAAACAAAGCCTGTCATAGACAGGATAAATGGGACGTCTTCTTTTGGTGTTGACTCTCATTGCAGATTCACTTAATTAACTAGACACAGATGATCTGTCTCTTTGTCCCACAACACGAAAAGAGAGAAACTGCAACCGGGCGACACCTGAAACGAAATGACTCAATGGATAGACACTTCAGCTATTTTATCACGACGACCGTAGTGTGTCAAACCACCAGTGGCGAGCATACGGTCAACAGGCCAAGCGAGCAATCGATCGTGACCGGACACTACCTGGTCCGATGACATCCTTATCTGGGAAGTTATGAATCCCCTAAAGTTGACCCTCAGCAGTCTGGACATCGCGCAAGAGTCAAAAAATCACTTTCTGTCGGAAGACTGCTGCGTCCTCCAATGTTTTGAAATACGGGAAACGATGGCCAACGTTATGCTTACACGGAGTTGTATTCTGAAGGTCACGGTACACTCGTAAAATCTACAACACGGGCTTTTCAATATTCCCAACTCCAGCAAATACTAACCATATATAAAAGATATCACGCAAAATTCGAAAACGTGTGTGAAATATGTATTATGCTTGTTTATACTTGCAAATTAGGTTATTCTCAACTCTGCAAAAGATCATGGTCGGCTTTCTCTAGAGACCAGAAAATTCTACCCGAACGAAAGGTGGCAGTTTGTCCCAAGGGAGGTGGCCTTTATTGTTACAAATAACATTGTAAGGTTAATGGCCTAAGTAGCATTTCCATTGCTATTCAACTGAGTAATCCGGTTCTACAGTGAGTGACATCAACACAAAGGAGCTGGATTGTTTCTTATAAGTGGGATAAATCAATAATTCCATCAATCCATCTTAAAGAATACGTGATATTCAACACTTCCCTGAATATGAAAAACAAAATCGATGAAAATGAAATGTAATGTTTTCAGGATATTCTTTCAGATGTTCATTCTCATACTTCAGATGTGTAAAAACCACTAAAGCAAAATATCTGATATTAAAAGTCGCGTTAAAAGCTGTCCAGCCAGCACACAGGCTCCTGACTTCCGACAGGGCGCTACGAGCTTTAGACGCGGCTTTTGCCGACCGCTGCTAGCACTCAGCAGCGAATGTCTAAGGTTTAAAAAGGATCGTTTGTGTGGCCAAAATGTCACACTGCAGTGGGAAATATTGACACAATTGTGAAATGGCTGCAATAGCCATCCCCGGGTGGTCGCCGAGGCGTATACATGTTACAGCTGGAGCCTACAGCTGTGAATTTGAAGATCTCTCGCTTGCCATGTGCCACTTCATCTACCACATTAGATTGAACAGAAATCAGGGTTGCCAATTTTGGTCAGCTGGCTCGAGTGAGATTTAGAAATAACAGTTGTATTACTTTGTAAATATATTCTGTAGGGTTTGCAAACTACCCCAACGCTCTTGATGTAGCTCATGTTAGGTTTATAATGGAATAATATAAATTTACCGTAAGATTTCTTGCGGGATCGTGAGTGTCACGACAGATGCCTGAAAACTGGCAGTCTTGAGAAATTGTAATGATAATTATTATACAGCAACTACTTGTATAATTGTTTGAATAGCTTTGGGCCTCAGGTGTAAATGAAGTAAATGGTACTTTAAAACGTGCAAGATCTTGTTTGTTATAAGAACACAAGAACATAAGAGATATACAAACGAGAGGAGGCCATTCGGCCCATCGAGCTCGCTTGGGGAGAACTTAACTAATAGCTCAGAGTTGTTAAAATCTTATCTAGCTCTGATTTAAAGGAACCCAAGGATTCAGCTTGCACTACGTTATCAGGAAGACTATTCCATACTCTGACTACACGCTGTGTAAAGAAGTGCTTCCTTAAATCCAGTTTGAAATGTTCTCCCGCTAATTTCCACCTATGGCCACGAGTTCTTGTATTTGAACTAATGCTGAAGTAACTATTCGGTTGAACAGCATCCAAACCTGTTAGAATCTTATAGACCTGGATCATGTCCCCCCTCAGTCTCCTTTGCTTGAGGCTGAACAGATTTAGCTCAAATAACCTTTCCTCGTATGACATTCCTCTAAGACCAGGAATCATTCTTGTGGCCCTACGCTGCACCTTTTCTAAGGCCGCTATGTCCTTTTTAAGATATGGTGACCAAACCTGTACACAATATTCTAGGTGAGGTCTCACCAAGGAATTGTATAATCTTAGCATTACCTCCCTTGACTTAAACTCCACACACCTGGAGATATACCCCAACATCCTATTGGCCTTTTTTATTGCTTCCCCGCACTGGCGAGAATGAGACATGGAAGCATCAACATACACACCAAGGTCTTTCTCATAATCAGCTACCTTTATTTCAGTAGGTCCCATAAAATACCTGTACTTTATATTTCTGCTCCCTACATGGAGTACCTTACATTTGTCTATGTTAAATTTCATCTGCCAGGTGTCAGCCCAGTCACTAATTAAATTAAGATCCCGCTGTAGCTGCTGAGCCGCTAGTTCAGTATCTGCTACACCACCCACCTTGGTGTCATCTGCAAATTTCACCAGTTTACTGTATATATTGGTGTCTATATCATTTATGTAAATTAGGAACAATAGTGGTCCTAAAATTGAACCCTGCGGTACCCCACTATGAACGCAGGCCCACTGTGACATCGAGCCTCTTATAACTACTCGCTGCTTCCTATCCGTTAACCAGTTATCAATCCAAGTCGCTACAGTTCCTAAAATACCTGTCGCTTTGAGTTTAAGTGAGAGCCTCTTGTGGGGAACAACATCAAAAGCCTTTTGGAAATCTAAATAGATGACATCATAGGCCTTCTTATCATCAACTTCCTGAGTAGCTTCCTCAAAAAACTCCAACAGATTTGTTAAACAGGATCTACCTCTCCTAAATCCATGCTGGCTATCCCTCAAAATGTTATTTGAGTCCAGGTAATCTACCATTTTCTCTTTGATTATAGCCTCCATAACTTTACCAGTTATACAAGTTAGACTGATTGGCCTATAGTTTGACAAATTACTTCTATCCCCCCGCTTTTTTGAAATTATCCTTACATCATCGGCATAGTGTGTCCTGCGATGGGTTGGCAACTTGGCGCCCCATCCTGGGTTGTTCCTTGCCTTACGCCTGCAGCTTCTGAGATCAGACAAGCGGGTACAGAAGATGGATGAATGGACAGGTTGATGGGCGGCATAGTATCTCCTTTAAAACATGTCTTGTTTTTTTCGTCTAGGAAACACCGAGCGTGAAATTTTGCCAAAATATTTTACCCTCATTAATACAATGCCAGAGTAAAATCTCACCTCACCATGTAATTGTCACAGACTTCTATTTCTCATAATAACGTGTCAGATTAACACGTTCTAGATGAATCACCTGTTAGGCATACTGTGCTAATGACGTTTTTTTTCCATTTGTGTATAAATCCAAGATGCTTGCTAAATTATCCATTATGGCAGATGCTGGCAGAAGCCATGGTTTTTTCTTTCAATAAACCCCATGGTGAGGCGTTATTAATGGGTCCTATACCAACCTACCCACCCTGAGTGCTCCTCAGTAACGATCAGTATTAAATTCCCATAGTTTTTAATAAGGGGGAATACAAAAATACGCAACTGGAGGGTGGCCAGCAGGGAAAGGGGGCACAGGATGATGCGTACGGCCAGATGCTCCAAACATCCAAACACGAAGGCGCAGGCTGATCAGCGTGACCAGCGCAGCGTGTTTTAAAATGTATAAAACGCCAATTAGTGAAGATGGTGGGAAGTGGGCTAGAGATTAAGCTCCTGGAATTAACTTTAAAGCACAAAGAAAACATTACTTTGGAAAGCATTACTGCTCATTAAAGATCACGGCCCCCACGAAAGTATATCATACTGGGCTCCTGTTACTTCTAACCCCGTCCCCTCTTTTACGGCGCCCGTGGCTCGTAGTGAGATATTTTAGTGTGCAATTGTTGACAGATCGCGTGTTGTCAAAACCTAGACACTATAGACGTTATCGTCATATTCCAGTAGTCTTTCTGTGGTAAGCCTAGGTAGACTGCTAGCTCATCTGAAACGCATTCTGTTGCACGAAACATAAAAGTTGCCGTAGCTGTTGTAGCAGTTCACGTGATCGGCCAGGTGGTGGCAGTGTTTGATAAGGTAAACCTGAAGGACCGCTACTGCACGGTATCGCCATAAGCTTTTCGCTCGTCTAATTCTTGTCATAGACTTGGTTCTATCCACCATGGTTGATTTTAAATCGACGTATCCCCGAGCTGCTTTTACATGTACTCCTATTTAGAGTTTTTGGAGAGCAAGTAAATGCACATAAAATGACAGAATATATATCTGTATTTTACTGTTTTACAAATATAAATGACACTTAGGAGACTAGAAATGTTGTAGTAAGACATGAAGTCTCCTTTATTAAATTCATGTGTTGCTATAGCAAAGCGTATCCTGGCAACCATGAAACTTAGCAGTGAGAGGTTGTGCAGTGTGGTTCAGAAAGCCAGTCACTCCCTATCGCCTGTGCTCTACAGTTTCCCAAGCAAAGGGAGCAGAGGGAAATATCAGAAAATATAGTCTGCTCAGCCTTCCACACACTTTACTGATAGCGCCTCTGTCCTTAGAGCAGGAACTGAATTCTTCTTCTTCATTGAAAGGTCACATTATCTCAAAGCTGCCACTTTTGTGATGTTCAGAGAGGATCAAGTTGTAATCTCACACTGAAAAGCAGTAACTGACATCATTTTGCACAATTTTTCTTTACATGGCCCTGAAATTTCCCTATATGCCAATGGGGTAATTTAACCGATTTGAAGTGGTAACTGAAATTATAAGGGGTATAAGTTTAACTGTAACACGTGCTTTGATTAATTCTAGATTTGCATCAAGATGTTAAGGTCAAACTAGGTCATTCGATCACCTGTATTCCTAAGATACTAAAGTAAGCAAACGATCAGTAGGATTGAACCTTATGATTCCACAGCTTAGTTAAACTGAGAGTTCGATTGGAACAAACTTCTGCAGACTTTGTGGGAAGTTCACATTTTATTTGTAACATGCTGATAAGAGCAGATGTAGGCGGCGATCTAGACAGCCAAACTGGCATGGTGCCAGCCAAACTGGCATGGTGCCAGTCAAACTGGCATGGTGCCAGAACCACTGCTCATTTGCTTATTGCTGCAATGCTGTTGTTCTTTAGACTCATTTGGCTCCTGTCTGCATAAATGCTGCTCCCAGAGATCACCTGTTAAATTTGCAACATCTGGTTTGCAAAGGCCACTCGCTTGGGCTAAAGCACAACATTCCTTTGCATGTGACACAACAAGTGCCCCGTCTCATCATAATCATTATCTTTCTTCCGCAGAGCTGGCTCTGGGCTCCACAGTTTGCCCTGAGTCAGTCTGCAGTTATTCAAGCATTCTGCATGCTGTGTCCGTCTCC